GAGGAGGAATTAGAATTGCGGTGGTTAGACACTGCACGAAAGAAAGCGTGGCGGCGATAAAGATGATGATTGCAACATTTAACTTCTCCGCAAGTCATACAGGCACGCGCCAGAGCTGAGGCCAAACGGTGGCAGAGCATCCTATTTGAGTCGGGAGTCCGCGGGAGATCGAACCGCTCTGGCAGAGTAGAGAGACACATGAACACATGAAGAAGGGAACCATAACTGTCCAACCCCAGCGCATTCTAGACTCAGCAAGGACACGCCGTCGCTGTCTGACCCGGGGGCGCGCGACGCGGCGGGGCGCGGGCTCGCCCTCTTTAGCGCGTAACTCTCTCGCTCTCGCACTGGAGGAGCCATCGCGCGCGCGAGTGATGGTGGCGCGAATTCTCCCAGGCAGCATCTGTGCATATTGGTGACATCGGGCCGCAGACGCGATGTCTGAAAGCCTGCCCTAAGACTTAGGCGAAGAGATGGCCCTGGGGCCACGTGGAGGACGAGGTGGAGGCGCATGGACGCCTTGACCTGGTGGATGCGAGAGGGTGATGCATGGAGATAGACCGCGAGGAATGAGTGCACTTTGTCTGGCACGACCGCCTCGAAGCCCACCGCAATCACGAGTTGCAGGGCCCGGAGCGGGCCCAGCTCGCTGGCGGCATCCGCACGGAAGGCCGCGCTGGCGCGCCAGCGATTGACCTTTTCCCTTGCCCTACGCGTCTCCATATGATTACTATCCTTATTCTTCTTCTTCTTCTTCTTCGGCAGGTCGGCGTCGGCCTCTGGCGCGCGCTTGTTCCGACTCCTGCCCCTGCCCTTGCCCTTGCCCTTGCGGCTATCATCAGCGTCAACTTGCACTCCTGCGTGCTCTGACTCTGCGCGTTGATCCGATGGTAGTGGCGGTGGCTCTACGGCTGCAGGCCCAGCCATGACCGCGTCGATCACCAGTTAGGCACGCTCACGTCGGCGGGCAAGTCGCCGTTCCATCTGGGCGTCGCGGTCGGCCTCCAATCTGGCCGCGGAACACAGCCGGATGGATGTTTCAGGGACCAGGTCGTGCACGACGTTGGCCCTGATAGCCGCGGTCGGAGTGTCTGCTAGATGCTCGCATCCGCGGCGCTGTCCCAGGCAGGGCAGGCCAGCTGACCCTGCCGTTGGCGCGTGGGTTAGCCGAAACCACCGATGCGGGGGGTGGTGATTCGCTGTTCGTCGCGGGCCGCGAGCTGGCCCATCGGCAGAATGGCGGCGCCTGCTCTGCGTCGCCGGTCGATGAGGCTCATATCGCGGGGGCCCCACATGGCCGCAGTCCTCGGCGGTGCCCCGGCGAAAGGGCGAGCTCCATCGGCGGCCGCCGCCGGCTCCGCGGCGGCGGCGACCGCGCCAGGGAACTGCGGCAGTACAGGCATTTGCAATGATCCTGAAGTCAGTGTCGCCACGTTGAACATCTGAGGTGGCGGCAGAACAACTGGTGCGCCAGTGCGCGCGCGGCCCTGGACCGCGGCGAGCGCGGCGGCTGACCGCGAGCCGTGGGCAAATCCAGACAGCTGCCAGGAGCCGTCAGCGGATGGCTGCACTGGCGCGGCACTGCGACCTGGCTGCGGCTGAGGAGGACCCTCGGTGACCACGAAGGCAACTCCACGAAGGCAACTCACGAAGGCAACGCGGAGGAGCCTCGCACTCATGCCCAACGCGAAGCTGTGGTTAATGCCTGTGGGGTTGCGATGGGTCGAAGACCGTCGTGGGGCTCCTGTGGGCGAGTCGCTCTTCATCGCAGTTGCGCTTTCAGCTGATGCCCTCGCAGCTGGACCAGACGTCCAGGGCTAATTGCCCGTCGGCTTGCAGAACAACCATAAGCACAAGCTACTCAAGAAACGGAAGATGGTACCGATGCGGAGGTGAACGTAAGTGCGAATGTGCGCCCACATAACACTACGCGCACGTTCCGTGGATCGCAAGCTGGGATCGCTCCCAACTCCGCTACCAACTAGAATTGCGGGGGTTGGAAGTTGTACGAGAGAAAGTACGGCGGCTATAAAAATGATGACTGTAATGCTTATTAACTTCTCCGCACGATGTACAGGTACGCGCCGGCGCTGAAGCCAAACGGCAGCAGAGCATCCTATTCAGTGCGGAGGAGGAGTAGGAGGAGGAGGAGGAGGAGGAGGAGGAGGAGGAGGAGGAGGAGGAGGAGGAGGAGGAGGAGGGGGAAGAGGAGGAGGAGGAGGAGGAGGAGAAGGAGGAGGAGGAGAAGGAGGGGGGGGAGGAGGAGGACCCTCACCCTCCTGATCTTCACCCTCGCGAGACTCGCCCTCCTGATCCTCATCCTCCTCATCCTAACCCGCTGCACCACCGTTTCCCGCTCATTCTCCTTTTGCCCACAAGCACACGCCCCTCCTTCTATATGCAGAAACTCCCGATCAACCGCAGAGCGGCCGGCTAACAATCGTCAGCGTCGCCATGCATTGTCAACGCCAGCACACTCCACCATCCGTTGCCAACTCGA